TCGCGTCGTTCATTATCCATCACACATCATCAATCATCTAAAACCATCGTCGCCATCATCCATCAACCATCATCATTGTCGTCGTTATGCAACTGTGATCATCCTCGTCATCGTCGTCGTCGTCATCATCCATCATCAGCATCCATCCTCACCGTCATCCATCATCGTCATCATCATCAGGGTCGTCGCATCTTCATCATCACCATAGCCGTCTTAGCTAATTTCTTACACTCGCGCGCTCGGCGTGATTTTGTTAGAATGAAACGGACGATCGTCATCATTGTCGTCACCCATCATCATTATCATCCATCATCCGTCATCAAGATCATCCTGGTGCAACCATCATCATGGTGATTATCATGGTCATCTTCATCATTATCCATCATCGTCCTCATCATCTCATCACCAACGTTCATCATCATCCATCATCACCATCGTGGCGATCATCAGCATCATCATCATCATCACCGCCAGAGTGATCTTGCGTCATCGTCATCATCGTCGTGGTCATCGCATCATTGGCGTCATGTCCCACACCCCGTATCTTACACACACTTCAACTGCGCCGTCAGGCAACGCTTGGTACGATGACAGTCGTCGTGGCATGGATGATCATCATCTTCATCATCACTTCATCATAAGGCGTCATCATCATGACCAGCATCATCATGATCATCCTCCTTATTATCATCATCAAGACTTAGCCTCTATCTTCCGTCCGTTTCAATTGTGCGTGTGTTAGGCAGCGCTCGGCGCGCAGAGTATGCTACGACAATTGGCGCGGAGGATGATCATCATCATCATCACCTTCGTCATCCATCATCGTCATCGTCCGTCATCATGGTCACCATCAAACCCATGAATCATCATCGTCATCCTTATCATCACCATCATCATCACCTGTCATCATCTTCATAATCCCCCATCATCATCATCATCATCATCATCCATCATCCTCATCCATCACCAGCTTCTTTCGTGAGCCTCCATCATCATCATCGCCGCATCGTTCTCATCATCCTCATCATCATCGATCGTAATGCACCATCATCATCCATCATCATCAACCCATCAGTGTTCATAGTGAGAATCATCATCATCCGTCAGCATTGTCATCATCATTGTGGTCTTCGCTTATCTCTCGCGCGTTAAGTGGTGATAGTCATGATGGCACGGACTCATCATCATCATCATCCTCATCATCATCAGTCGTCATCATCCATCATAGTCATCACCTTCTTCCTCGTTGTCGTCATCCACCATCAGCATCCTCATCGTCATCCATCACGACCGCTTTGGAAAGGTCATATTCATCATCCTCATCACCATCGTCCTTCATCATTACTGATGATCATCATGGGTGGAGATGATGACGATCCTGTGACGGACGATGGATGATGGTGCGTGATGGGTGGATGATGATGATGATGATGATGGTGATGATGGTGATGATGATAATGTTCATCTGTGCAACGATGAGAATCATTGTTGATGACGTTAATGATAGGTGATGATGGTGATGATTGATGATGATCATCTCGCGCAGCTGCCGTGAGGCTCGAATCTCCTGTTCCAACTTGGTTCTTCCGCACTCAACCTGATACGGCCACAAGTCAATCTGATCCCCCACAAATTAATCTCACCCCCCTCACAAGCCAATCTGATGCTTCACAAGTCTTTTTGATGCTTCTGCAAGTGAACAAGTCAATCTGATCCCTGTGACAAGTCTGTTTGATCCCCAGCCCAGGTCGAGGGTTGTGTTGTTTGGGTTGGAGCAGTGCATGTTTTATAACGAGCCGGACACACAATTTTAGCAACGTATGCGTGGTGAGTGCAAATCAACGCAGCGCAGATGAGTCTTCATATGAGCCCGTTTCAGATTTTGCTTTCGGTTTTTTGTCTATGAAGCGGCATTTCGTATTTGCGCTCTTGTTTGCAACTTGCAGTGCGCCATGAGCACTGGGAATGCAGATGATGTTGATTGAATTTTTGAATTGCCCCGGATCCTCTGGGGCGTCCACCGGGGCTGCCCTAAGACAGCCAGAAAAATCCTTGCAAGCGCTTTGATGCGATCGTGCAAGCCTTGTCAGATGGAAAATCACAATGGACGAGTTTTGTGAAAGGATGAGCCATCTTCGCAACTATGCGGCTGAGATGATTCTGGAGCGGACAGCAATGACAATACGAATGAACATTGGTGCCTGTGCAAAGACAGTAAGTAGCCTTACTTGTTTTCCAAGGCCAGAGCTGCGACAGTGAGAAATCACAGCACAAAACTCGTTTTGGGCCTGAGTAGGACTCATTGCGAAAAGGCGGGGTGAGAACTTTTGTGGCATGGTAGTACACACCAAACTGTGTCTAAGTTGCATGTGGAGCTAATCTCTGTTTTTGTTCATGCAGACAGTTGCATTCATGTAGTTGGTGCAGCTTGACAGACTTCGTACCGAAAAGCCGTTTGTGCGAGTTCAAAACAAGTTTTAGATCAGCATCGTCAGAAAGAGCCAGTTCTTGAAACTCATGGCCAAACCGATGATTAAAGGAGCCTTACTGAATATATACATGACGGAATATCCAATCCATTCTTGGACGCATTCCACTAAAATTGAAAATCTTCAACTTCCAGCGCAAGATTCTCATTGCCGGTGGACGTGCTCTACAGGTGACTCGTGTTGCCACCAGGGCGAACACGAGTCTGTCAGAAAGCGGGCAGAGACGAAGCGTCCAAAGACGGCGCAATGAAAGCGAGGACACAGATGATTCAATAGATGCCCCGAACCGACAGAGACGATAAGATGGCCTTGCAGGAGAGACAAAGCGGGCGACTCACGAGACGAATGACAGAGAAGGGCCAGGCCCCAAGCCAACGCAGCCAAGCAGAGCCACCAGGGCTACCACGAGGCGGCGGAGGCGAAAAAAGGGAGGAACCACAAGGGCGCAGCCAAGCGAGAACCGAGAATATGGAGCGGATGAGAACAACGCGCACATCAAGAGGCTCCGTGGGGAAGGATGACCTAATTATTACCTCCTTTCCATTCTTGTCGGCGTGCTCCTCGTCGCCAGGATTTCCAAGACGATTCTGGTGCGCCACAGCATCTTTCCGTGTTTGCACGCTGGTGTGCTTGCGGGAATGCGCGCGCAGCCGTTTCCTCGAAAGTGACGTTGCACGCTGGCTATTGTGACTAGCGTTTCGAAGTGTCTCCTTTCAATGAGTGTGTAGTGTTTTTTCTTTGAACATGACGTTGAGTAGCTGTGCCATTGCGATTTGCGTTCCGGGGTGGACAATTCGAGGTGTTTTGCTTGGCAGAATTCGCGATCCTTTGCTTGGGTCGCCGTGCATGGTAAGTTTCAACATTCTTTTTCAATTGTTCTCGTTACGTTGGAATTTCAATGTGTACAAGCAAAGTACATATACGTTCCATTTTTCAGTCTCGCAGAAGGGTCAAATACCAAATAGGACCGACTTCTCATGTATTTTGCTTTTGAGGGTGGTGGCTTGGATTGGTGGCAAGATTTGAACCCCCTTCCTCTTGACAGTGTTTGCTGTTGCATTTTGTTTGAAGGCTGGCTGTCAGGCAAGCTGGCACCTTTCTTGAAAACCCGCCAGGCTGCACAAACTGCCGGGCATCTTGGCCCAAACAATACGCTGTGCAACAAATGTTCCGAACAGCTCTGCGGTCCCCCTTCTTGATTCTTAACGCTGGTTTGGATCGACTTTGGCCGTACTGTTTTCAATTGGAACCGAAAGGATTTGTCGAGACTTTGGCCTGGCCGTTGGTTTACTTTAATTTCACTTATGCACCAACTTGTGCTTTGAACCTCTACAAAGCACCCTGCTCATTTTTTTTCCGGATTCACAAACTCGAAGGATGGAAACCTGACCTGGCGCTTTTCGGCTCAGCGTTGCGGGCAGCATTGTCTGGGCGAGGGGCTCGGGGGGTTCGGGTGTTTGGCGTGGAAAACCCCCTGGTCCCTGCGGCATGTAATGGATGTTTTAAGAAAATGCGGGCCATTTTAAGTGAATTTCTTTTCAAATAGAGCGAAGCCGGCCTTGTTGCCCTCCAATAGTGGAACCCTCCAACTGTTTCCCTTTAAAACAATCTTCGAGATAAATAAGATACATTCATGTTGGAGTAGACAATCATTGTTTCCGCTGCGGGTGCACCGCTTTTGCCATTGGTGCCAGAGTTGCCAATCTCTTCAGGTGTCCAGGAGGCCAAAACTCTCAAGGGACCGGATCATCTGTGTTTTTGTTCTCTCACAAACTCGGGCTGGCTCAGGTTTCGTCCTGGGTGTCGATGCGATGACGAAGCTGAGCATTGTGCTGAAGCAAGATGAGGCAGGAGTTGCAGCGGTCTCCCCCAGAGATTACCCTGCGGTTTTCTTCGGGCAGAACCTGCACATCCCCAAAGAAGATTGATCCGAACCATGCCTTGTGCACGTTGCCCATCATTTAGGTGGGACTTCTGTCCATATGGACGAAATTACTCGGCACATGGGAGAATTGGGTTTCCCCCAGTTTTTGTGGGACATGTGTTCGGCCCAAGAGACTGCCAGTGATAATTTCTCATAATTAGAATTAGTGCCCATGTGTTTGAGCGGTGTTTTGTTAGGTAGGGCGATTCGACGTTTCCAGGCGCTGGGCAAGATGTGCCGCGCCTTGCCCTCTGCGTGGCCGAAGCTACGGAGGAGCATGGATTGGGGGTTCGGGGCGCGAGAAAGAAACGTATTTGACGTCTTGTGTTTGCTGGTTGATTTTGTGTTTTGTCGTTGCATGCTTTCAAATCATCGTTGGTTGATTGCTGTCCTGAGGGCATTCTCTAGTTGCCAAGCAGTGTTTTGCTGTGCGAGGAGGGTATTATTTGCTTTGGCATTGGAGGGGCTCGAGAGCAGGGACTGGGACGCGATCTCAACAGATTCACCCAACTCTGGTGGGCCTCAAACTGGGACTCGGATTTCGCTTGGTTTGGCAGAGACTTTGCTGCAGGACCTCCAAGCTGTACATGTGGCGTTTGGACGAGCCGAAGCTTCATGCTTCTTGCCCTATCAAAGAAGATGCGTCGTATGGCTCTGCTTGGTGGAATTTGAAGCTGGTTAGTTGAATCAAGCCTTTCAGGGCGGTAAAAACGAAGGCCTGTTGGAAGCACCTGCAGCGTTGAGGCTCTGCAGCAGACGCTGATCGAAGAGCTGAACCTGGTCTTTGCTCTGGGCTCAGAACGTGGATCTTGGTCTCAAGGCAGAGCCCACAAACAAGTTCTAATGACTTCCAGTCAACTTCCAGTGTTTCCGGCCCAAGAAAGCCAGAGGGATGCGGCGAGAAGAGCAGTTCCACCAAAAGCTTTCAGGAGCAACACACACACGACAGGCACTTTTTGTGATTCGGCCTCGGCAATGATTAGTGCCAGGTGGACTTGCATGAACTTTGCGAACGAGGTGATGCCGAATGTGTCTGGATCCTACTATCTCAGGACGGGCAGGGATGAGCCCACGTTGTTTGTATGAAGAAGCGGAGGTAGGCATTTGAGCACGGCTTCCTGGCATCTTGAACACATAGAGAGGCAACATAAGGGCCTCAGCAGTGGTTGGGGACCGGGAGTTTGGACATATTAACTGTAGATCTACATCATGGTGATTAAGGTGTGAGCTCACCATAAAATGGGGAGATGGGTAGTAAAGCGTGGGGAAGCAACCAAACAGAGCCGGCAATCGTTGTCAACCCGTAAGTGCTTGCCGGGAGGGGCGGGCTTGGATTTCTGCTCTCAGTGAGCAGATCATGGCCATGGGCACGGCTTGCTGTCAATGGCGGGCGTCACCCGAACGAAGGGATGCTGCCGATGAAGAAATAATTTTCGTACCTTGACGAGATGAGATACTGCCAATTAGCAGTGCACCGAAGTGGAGAGAGGCCTTTAGAATTTTGTTTCATTCTGCACTGCCGGCGTCAAAGCCGCTCCACTCCAAAGAGCCCATCAGTACGCGTCCTTCCAGTCATGTGAACGGGAAGCCAAAAAGTTGGCGAGCGCCTTTTGTCCTTCGAAAGTCGGATGCTTTTCTCGGTCACGCAGGGCCCTCCGAAGGAGCTTTCCTGCAACCCGAAGGAGCTCAAGCATCACAAAAAGGTAAGCATCACGCCAATTTACAGTAAGTTCCCTAGAGTGATGTAAGGGAAAAAGGTTGGCGCCGATTCGCCAGGGGATGAGCGTGAAACTGCGGGATGCGGAGGGAGCCACCCTGCTACAGAAGGCGAAGACCCGTTGTGTCTCAAAGCGAACCCCTCACCCCTCCTTCAATACTCTGCATGCGGAAAGCTCAAATTCTTCAGCTGTGCAAGTGGCTGGACTGAGTGGTATGCAAGAGAATGGCCCCCCTGTGAGTGGGTGTGTTTTTTATTCGACACCATACTTCTTAGGTTGTTTCAAAGAGAAACCAGCAGGACGATCCTTGCTTGGGTTCCCTTGATTGAGACTAGGGCTTCAACACACATCTCCACGTTCTTCTGCTTTGCAAGGTGCGTAATGTTATGGGGCCGTGGTCTCCCTCCGAAAGTGTCTGGCCCCGTGAAAATGAAGTCGCCGGTACGCCAGAGGCACACCCAACGAGGGTTTCTGGATGGCGTTCAAAGGCAAAGTCGTGAGGCCAGTATTCAGGGAAGATGTCCGTTTTGAAGGTCCACACAGCGTGTTAGCCTTGTTTGTATTGCCAAAGGGGACTAGGACCGGACATGCACAAAACCCGCAAGACAGCCATCCCAGAGCTTGATGCTCTGGATTTGATCGAATATTCCATATTAACTGGGCTTATCGAGGAAAGCAACCTGCTTGGCTTGTTGGGGCTCACGATTTGGACCCGTTTGGGACCCCTCGAAAGGAAAGATGAAGCGCACCAGGGTCCAAAATGGGATCCAGTCATGCATGGCATGTTCTTGGGGCATCCTCGCCACCTGAGAGAGGAACAAAGTAGAGTCAGTCGTCAGGCATTAAGGTTCAGTGCGAAACCCTGCGCTTCTTGGGGCCATTGAACCCATTGAAGACCAACGCATGCTAGCCCAAGACTCGAACAATGGCAGAGGTTGTGACGGGAGGTCTGGTGAAGTGTACCCCACTTTCAGCACTGTTCTCTTGGCTGTTGTTCTTGGTTGTTATTTTCACAAACTTCATTGTCCATAACTCCTTGCGTGGGCAAGCCTACTTTCCCTCCACCCCAGCCTTTTTCGTGCTTGCTCTGTGCAAATGGTCATTGAAATGCGGGGATCCGCGCGCTTTGTGCTTGGCAATCTTCGCAGGCGACCCACAGCGGGCGTGTACCAATCTTGAGGCTCATCACTGAGAAGGGTGGAAATCTGAATGCCAAGGCCGAGAGGGGAGGGTTCGCCTTGTCTACTGCTCAATCACAGTGAAACGGGAGCAGCAATTTGGTTGGTTCCCTGAAAACCGACAAAACCTGCATTGCCAACTTTAATAGGTGGTTCTACTATAAATCTGAACTAGGTAAACTGCTTTTACC